GCTGATTACTTCCTGTTAATTGCTTCAACTATGGACGTTTATGACACGGACGGGACCGGAGTAGAAGGTCTGTCTCTTATAGCAACGAATGACACCCCTTGATAATTTCGCTTATGACCTAAAGGATTCCGTTTGCTGGCATGTGTTGATCTGACGCGAGTTGGTCTGACGCGTACTGGAAAAAAAGACCTTATAGGATGCACAGGGTTTTTTTTGGTGTACATGTGTAACAATTGTGGGAAAGGGTACACCTTATTAGGATTTTCCCGAAACCAAATTTTATTTCCATGGCGTTTTTCTTGTCATTGATCCCCATTTCGTTATTACTGCTCGCTCCCATGGGCCATGGATTTTCACGCCACATCGAAGCCATTTTTGAGAGGATAGCCTATCTTCACTCGAATTGCGCCACTTTTTAATCTTCTAGTACAGTGCTCTGCCCCACTCGTGCAGAATGTTGAAATATACGAAAGGCTGATAGTCACTGCAACATCGTAGCAAAACTATGTACCAAAGTCCTCAACGACTAACGAGCAGCCTTGAGCAAATTAAAAACATCATTTTTTAAAAAACAGCAACTTCCGTCAACGTGATAAATCGCTGTTACAGACTAGTAAATGTAAATGGGACTGTCAGATAGAACTGTAAGCATACCATTTCGTTTATATAAAGAGCACTTTCGTCAAATTCCTTTCTAAATATTTCCAGTGTTGTTTTACGATGACTTGCTCTTGGGATAATTTTGAATAAGTCACGCTTTTCAATATTTTAAAGTTATGGCGCACAAATATTGAGTGTTTATGAAAACCTTCAAAATGAGGTTTTTTTAAAAAAGCGTTTACCGAAGAAGCGAGTTTTTCCAAAATATGTTCTAATGCAGGTGGCCGTTTAGGTCTTACTCGAAAACTCACTCAAAAATGAAAACTCGTTGCCTAGAGAAAATGAACGCCTATCAGTAGAGTTGACAGTATGCCTAGGAGAAATTAAAAAGCTTTTTTTTAATAGGTTACGGCTTTAAAGTCATTTTTAGTAGATATTTTGTTGACGAATGTTTGCATACTTAAGCTTCTTGTACGGTTACATTAGGATAAAATGGAGACTAGTTATTTGACTTCCCTTTTGTAAACAAGAAGGCTTATTTTCCTCTTTATATTGAGACATTTTTCACTTTATCTGTTTCCTTTTGAACTCTGTTCTAAGAATGCAAATGCACTCCAGAATGGTCACATATAGGAATATTTTGCGGAAACTGCTAATTTTCTGCTCATTCCGTTTCTTACTCGCACATTAGCGGAAACTAGGCCATGCAGAAAGTATCTTACCACATGGACCTGATTCTCAGGTTGTTAAAAAAATACTCACAAGCAAGGAGATTATTGCGTTTTGGGGCAAAAAACTCGTCCGAATCTTTGGAAAAGGGATTTTAAAAGTTGGATTCATTCCTTTTTTTTCTTAAAAGCAATGTGATTTCTGAACCTAGGTTTCCTTGATTTTGATTGACATACGAGCAGATTTCCCAGTTCCTGAATGGATTTATTTGCAACAATAGGTTTTGTTCTGTGATTTAAAGTAGCGTAGAAAGTTTTTTGGATATTCTGAAACTTCCATGTTCAGGCAAACCTTGCCTGTTTTTTTTCCGTAAACCAGATTGAAATGCAGCTTAAGGCTTCCTGAACCTTAAATCTCCCAAGCGAATCAAAATAACAAG